TCGCACCTATATCTAAAAGATTAGGGTTAATCTTAGCATTTAATATTTATTTGTATTTTATTTAAAAACAAATCGGGCTTGGCATGGCGCGGTATCGCATTTTTGCGCAGCAGTACTATGACGTCATAAACGTTAATTGTTTTCAGGACCATCGGACTTTGGCGTGTCAAACCATCGGGGTTTGGCGCAGACCATCGGACTTTGGCGTGACCATCAGACTTTGGAGTCCCATCGCACTTTGGAGTCGTACATATATATATATATATATATATATATATATATATATATATATATATATATATATATATATATATATGAGTTCGATATAAGGATTTGTCGAAATTGTTTTAAGGAATTGAATTTGTGATAACAAATCATGGAATTAGAATTTTTGAATCTGTTATTACGAGTTTAATTCGTTATAACAAATTTTTGAATTCGTTATAACAAATTTTTGAATTCATCTAACAAAATCAACAAATTTGTTATAACAGATTAAATTCATTATAACGAATTCAAAGAATTTGTTATAACGAATGAAATTCTTAATAACAAATTCGAGAATTCGTTATATCGGATTCAAAAATATTTTTCGATGGGTCCTAAATGGGCTTTTACGTTTTTATTAGTGATTGAAACTAATTTTCCTTTTATGACTTTAAAATTTCGTAAACAGATGACTTTAAAACACAGTATATGAAGATGAAGCTATGTTTAATAAGGAAGTTTTACCACGTTGAATTTCAATTTCTTTTCAACGTAAAATTGATTTTGGACATCCGGACTGTGGATCAGCATTATCTCTCCTGTACCTTAATTATTTGTTCCTTCTAAAAGAAAAAGTAATCTGGACTAATTTTGTCTCTTTTCGGCGGCCAAATCTAAATGCATTTAATTATTTAACCAAAAATTCAACATCCCATTTCCAGCGTTATTTTTTCCCAGCAAGTTTTTATTACTCTCTACCAATTAGAATACGGTCAGATCTCATAGAACTGAGGAATTGTGAATTTTACGACGCATCAATAAATGAAATGATTATTAGATGACAAATGTTCACATTTAAAAATGCGTTTCCCATGCCATTAAAAAAATCAAAGTACTGAGACAGTACTGAAAGACGGATCTATATTAATATCAAGAATTTTACCCCCACCCCCTTGTATCTTGTTTAGAGGTAATAACCCCACCCCAATAAAATTGTAAATTGTGTTCTTGTCATTTTCTTGTTATATATAATTTGATATATTATGTAAGTATAATATCAATCCTTTATGTAATCACTATTAAGTTATTATATAAAACACTTATTAAAACTTGTTCACCATCTCGAGAAAATACATACATATTTTTTGGACCTAGGTTTTATGGTAGATTGATTGTATACTGTTTAACGTCCCTCTCAAGAATGTTTCACTGATATGGAGACGTCACCATTGCCGGTAAAGGGCTGCAAATTTAGGCCTATGCTCGGCACTTACGGCCTTTGAGCAGAGAGGGATCTTTATCGTGCCACACCTGCTGTGACACGGGGCCTCGGTTTATACGGTCTCATCCGAAGGACCGCCCCATTTAGTCGCCTTTTACGACAAGCAAGGGGGTACTGAGGACCTATTCTAACCCGGATCCCCACGGGGCTTTTTTGGTAGAAAGGAAGAGTTATCATCGGCCATATAATATAATCTAGATTGAATCGGGACTGTATTATATTGCACATATATTTTTAACTGATCTGTAAGCGCTTTATTACGTTAATTGTGATTTAATTGCAATAACCCAAGAAAACTTTATTCGTATGTATACACCTCTTCTAATGTGTTCGGAACCTTTTATTTTTCGGTGTTCTGCAAATTATGAAATCCGATGAGTTCAGAGTAGCTCTGACGAGAGTTAGCGAGACTATAGCGAGGTAGAGTAAACTATTCACGGAAATGTGGCTGGGAAGTGACTAGCACGTGGAGACATGGTAAACAGAAAAGTTATGTTGCATTATAGTTTTCACCACCCTATAATATCATTTTGTACATGTACAATGTACAAATGTACATCATTTGATCTCTCTGAATTCATTCAAATTTAAATTATAAGTATTCTCTGTTAAAATTTTCTGCTGTCATGAATTAAAGTTTCTTTTTGGACAAATATTTTGCATGGGAACCGGGACTATATTCTTTTGCGTCGGATTAGCAAATGAGGCAGAATTGTGACTTTACCTGACTATTCAGCTGAATGAGAATTGTATTATTATATGGCTTACTACGAATACCAGAGGAATTTTACGCTTGATAAATTCCTTTATTGTACTATTGGTGAATACAATTGTCAGGTGGATTACCTGGCCAACATACTTGATCACGAGTATAGTTATGTAAAAAAAATGTTTTGTCCGTTTAAATGCATAATAGAAACTGCTCGTTTTCCTTACCCTTGTAGTGTTTGTTCATATGCATAAAAAATCTAAGAATTTTTCCTAAGTATTATACTTATTCCCAAATCAAACTGCTTAATTAACTAAGAAACTTACTTTAAGTTTCATGCATAAAAAATCCTACACACAGTGGATTGGTGAATTCCGAACTCATCCTCGTTCATAACTGCATTTTTCCTGTTGCAAAATAGCGAAGAGCTATCATGACTTGTAAATAAGTTGGTATGCTACAATTTCGACCTGTTGCTGGTGAAACGAAATCGTCAATCAGCGTCCCGATATGTTCAATTCCTTGTCTATCAAAACGGTAGCGTGTGATAAGTCCTACAGCACTGTATTCGGTAAAGGGATCTAATCTCAGCTTAAAAACACGGCGTTGCCTTTTTGCTGTCTTGCAGCCATTTTGCTGTGGTAAGCAAAATGCTTAAAAACTTTAGACAAAGTGAGGGGTTGTTTACCTTTAAGCATAAGAAGTAAGCGTAAGAATAAGAAACGTCATGCAATCCACTTACAACGTAAAGTGACGTACTAAGTGAAAAACACCACTCTGCTTAAGGTAAATTGGCACTTGAGAATATACTTAGCAGAATAAGAATTTTTATGCATATGAACCCTGGTGTTCTGAACTTGACACTAACTACGTATACATTTTATTAAACGTATTTTTTTCTAGCTAACAACAAGTTAAAAGCGCTTTTAAAATTTCTTTCATAGATATGTATTTGCATATTGTTCATAATAATAATTGTTATCCCCCCCCTTTTAGCCACCCATTTATGTTGAAAATTATGAAAGTCTTTCAGAGAGGTCTGGAAACACATTTTTCACAGGACATGTTTTCAAAAGAAACAGACTTTAGCAATTTCCTGCAGTTTGCTGCCAAATTTATTTATAAAACCGGTTCTACCCTATTACCTTTGAATAGGTTAACCTAAACCACGTGTCTTGAATTTAAATCACAATAACATTAGTAGGTGTGTATAGTAAAATTATAAAAATAGTTTGTTTTTCCAACAGGCCATGACCAAATATCTGTGAAGGCATTATGACGTCGTTTTTTTAATGACGTACATGCATTTCCACATTGTTTTATCGATCAGCATTTAGACAAAAGCATTCCAACCAAATGAAAATTAATATTTTTATTAGATAAAGCGTAAATACTACATTTATTTAAACTTCTTTTTTTATATCTACCTAACATACACATTAAATATCTGTAATTAGAAAACTGTCGGAATAGATAAGACGAGGCAGAAATACGATGCTATCTACATGTAGATATATAGGTCCATTTTATCAGAATTTGACCAACATGTAAAATTAAAGGAGACTTGATGTTCATAATGTTAATGTGAAGACTTCATCCAACGTCATCAAGTAAAATTTCCAATTATGAAGCAAATGTGTCAGACTCTGTGGTATCTTTTATCTCATGTTCACCTAGATATATCGTACCGTCATAAGAATGGAAATAAGTATTACAATTGTTAATCGACAATACGTCGTCGATATATGTCGTCGACATATGTCGATTTGAAGGCCACAACAATTGTTTTCTTCTTTTCACGCATAAGAATTTGCACAAATGCTACTTCATATGAATACAAAAACAAGTCTGCTAATAACAGGGCGCGATTGTTACCCTTGGGAATTCCAATAGATTGTTGGTCTCCAAAAACAACGTAGATATTGTCAATCATAATACTTTTCCACAGGCACTTATTGTTGAATTTGATGAATCAACTGTAATTCGTTATATAATATTTTCGATTTTGTTTAAACGAGTTTAATTCGTTTTAACAGGTTTTAGAATTTGTTATAACGAATTCAATTTAATATTTTATAACAAATTTTAGAATTCGTTCTTACAGATTTAGTTTTTATATGTATTGCGTTATAAACAGTTAAAAATTTGTTATAACAAATAACGAATTCAAAAAATTGTTATAACGATTTATATTTGTTGTAACAATTTCGCACTTCGTTATATCGAATTCAAATATATTGTTTGATAGATCCTAAACAGGCTTCCGTACTTCCGTGTACTTATAGATAATACAAACAATTTCTATTAGGACGAGACTTACATCCCATAACAGCTTTAGACAGCTTTAACAGCTTGGTAAAAATCAACCTATGTGACTGTTCTGATTTTTTGTCATTTTGTTTTTCCATTTTAAATTCACCTGGCTTGGTATATTTGTAAAATAAGTTAATATTATACCTCTTTTACTATGTTTACATAATCTGAAATTTGTATTCATTTGTAAACCTTTACTGCTTGTGAATTGTCAATATTTGTAATGTAATTGAAGTATTTTAGGTAATTTTTCATTTTTCAAGTCTAATTTAGGAAAAAATTCAAATAATTATCTATTTTTTTAATCTGTTACATGATGTTATGATTTCTCCAAAGAAAAAAAAACGAGTGTTTGTATCATTCGTCCTTGAATGGGGCTTATAGTTTTTAAAACTTAACCTGTATATTTAAAGTTTTAATTGAGACTGGATCTTTTAGTATATATTTGTTTAAGGCTTGCTTACTGATGATATTTTAATTTTTCTGAAGGCTGGAATATCCGGGAACCAGTTACTTATAGCTCAGGAGCCTGTGGTGGCCTCATTATACTGTAAACATTTCCCTACAGAGAAACTGCTGTCTGAGGCCGGCGTCCAGGGATTTGGAGTCTTCTCCAAGGGAAGCAAATACCTAGTTCTGGATTGTGGAGGTATGCTTTAGTTTTCCCTTATGTGCAGCAAACCTCTTATATTATTATTTTACCTATCCTCATCGGAAGACATCCCTGTACAGTGTTGCTATCCTATAAGTTGACAATTTTATCCTATCCTATCGTGAATCCTGCATCCACCATCCTATCCTGTGATTTCAGTCTAATCCTATCCTATCCTATCCTGCAACTCTCAGTTTTTTTAATATTTAGGAATTAATTTGACAAAACGAAAAAAAAAAACGAAATGACCACGAAAAAAATCAGATATAGTTATGGTATTCATTTAAGTGTTATATATTTTAATGGATAAAAATAATTCCATAATTCCTGACACACTGCACATTTTAAATTTAGGATTATCATTACCATGTTAAAAATAATGTAAACAAACAGATTGTAATAAAACGTGGGCAAGAACTGATTTTGTGAACATCTGTTAAGAATTTGGGCATCCAGAAGAAAGGATTAACGAAAAAAATATAACTAGACTTGATTTTAATTTTCCTACTGACAATGATCGGGAGACATGGCAACAGGAGGAGCGACTTGCTCCCAGCGTGTTATAATTAATTATTTTTTTAAAAAAAAAACATAGGTCTAAACGGTAATAATGTTTGAGTATATGTTTCATGTAAAATTTTATTTTATCCTAAACCGAGCAGCATAAAAATAACATGCATGTACATGTGAAGTCTAACTGTGCCTGTATAACATGTTTTTCTGTACGCGGTTATAAAAAAGAAGATATGATTAGACCATAAACCAAACAGACAAGTCAAAAGTTAGATCTAGAATATCTTGACTCTCACATATTAAACATTTTAAATGTGAAATTGTCTTATTACATCAAATATTAAATCTAAATGTATGATTTTTTTTTATTTAAATTCATATTAATTTATTCTTATGTGAATATTTTACAAACATGCAAAATATATAGTTGCTAAATAAAATTTAAGATATTCAGAATGTCAAATTTCTTATTTAACTTCATTTTCTTCTCAGCTTATGGTCAGTTCAGTGCCATACAAATGTATTTCAATTTCCAATTTTGTTTAATGTGTAAAAATTTACTAATTTATGTTTAATATAAAATATTTCCTTAATCGTCATTGTCTGACTCAGACAGATTGAAAGCAATAAATATTGTAGTGAGCTCACACATGTTTCTTAGATCTTATAAAACATGCATAAGAAATTAAGAATTCACAGTATTTACAGTATTTATAACTCATTCTTGAGTAAGCCAAGTTTGTATTTGACCTTGGCATTTGATCTTTAATGTTCATTAGTGTCTGATTGAGAGACATTAAAATGATCCACACATGTTCCTTAGATCTTATAAAACATGCAAAAGAATTCACAGTATTTACATCAATTATCACACTTTCTTGAGTAAACATTGTATTTGACCTTGACATTTGATCTTAAATTTTTCAGTGTTTAAATGAGGAAAATACGTTTGATCAAGTTCACAATATTTTCATTCAGGGTGATTCCTCAACACTGTTTAACAATATTCCATTACCATGAGACAAATGCATTAAAAGTATCCATGTACAGGATGAATTTCAATGCCAAGATCACAGATACATGTACATTTACTTTGTTTAAATTTAAGTGTATCAATGTTTTTATTACAGTTATATAATGTTTTACATGCATATGATTTGGCTTCCTTATCCGTCGCTCAAACTGAATTTCAAATGTCAGTTATTGTCAGAGAGATGGTCATAAACCGAACAGTTCCACAAATGTCAACAATGCACAGAAAAAAAGCACTGATCTCCTTTAATAAAAGCACCGTAATTTCAGACTTAGGACTCTTTGAAACTGGTTTGAACATCTTCCATTATTTAGTCTAACAGCATATGAGATGAACTGCAATCTGTACAGCTGAAATGAGCAGGGTTGTCCTGAAAAAAAAATTATAGGCATGTAGATTGTAAATTTTGTGTTATTACACATTTAAACTGTTTTTGATTGTGATTATCTTTCACTTTTCATGTACAATTGGCTTTAATTTCACCTTTTTTCTCTCCCAATAGTAGTGCATTAAGAAATCATGAAAAATAAAATCTTATACTGCAACCTCAGTCATATATTAATTTTTTTTAAAAAATCTTATTTAACATAATTTACTCACAAGTACATTATAATTCATTTTATCTTGTTGACTTGCTAACCAGTATATGAATACATTAGTTTGGGAGATTTTTCTCTATTTTCTGCTTGTATTTATCTTTTAATTAATGTTTTTTCTTAGTTTTCTTTTTTTTTTGTCTTGAAATTTAAATATGAAAAAGAAAATACATAATTTATATAACAGCAAAATGACTAGAATAATTCAACATTGTTTTAAGTTTAATTTCCTCTTAAGATTTTTAAAAGAAGAAATTCACTTGTTCCGAGAATCTGCTGACACGTCATCTCAACTCAGATAATGATGTATATGCGTTTTAATGATCATGCATAAATACATGATAAAAAATCAAATCACACATACTTTTTAGATTAAAATCCTTTATACTGTGATGATGCTTGAGTGCAGGCAAATCCATTCTCTGTAATAATTAATATTTAAAGATTAACTTGTGTTTCATAACTCACAATACATAATTACAATTACATACAATGTAAGTGCAGTGCTGACTGCTGAATGAGCTTATTAAACATTTAAACAGTAGCATTAGAAATGGTCATAATGATTGTACATTCATTTATCATAAATTGCACTGAAATGAAAGAAACTATTTTCTTACCTTACTAGGGAAATGATAATAGTAACAAACTGATCAAGGCATAATACATATGATTGTTTTAGTCTAAGAGCACATTGATAGCTGATTGAATCATGTGACAGAATATTTGTAAATATCTATCCCCCCTTCTATCTAGCTACTTCTATCTACACAACTTCTCTCTATTTTTCCGCACCCTATTTTTGTTTACATAAAATAGAATAACATGTTTATAATCTAAGTCATTAGAATATTGTCTTAAGGGCGAAATAAGTGTAAAAATGCACACATGAACAATGTACAGTTTGTAGTATACTTCTGTAACAGGAAAGGAGGAAATCCATGGCTGGACCGGGAATCGAACCCGGGACCCCTGTATCTCTAGTCAGGTGCTCTACCAACTGAGCTATCCAGGCCGATCTCCACGGCCCTAACCATTACATTCCTCCCTCCTTAAATGGTCTTCGCCCTCCAAGACACAACCCAAGTTCTTATTGCCCCTGGCAGGACTTTCACCTGCAATTCCAGGGGTGGTCAACGGCACCAAATCTGTAACAGGAAAGGAGAAAATGCATGGCTGGACCGGGAATCGAACCGGGACCCCTGTATCTCTAGTCAGGTGCCCTACCAACTGAGCTATCCAAGCCGATCTCCACGGCCCTAACCATTACACTTACATGTTCTCGCGCATCATCTATTCAAGTCCGCGGTCGACGGTTCCTGTGGAATTATCCAATTAAACAGAGCAAATTTAAAAGGAAAATATGTAATTACACTTTTACACAAGTAAGAATCGGTCAGACCATCCAAACAAGCTAAAGAAATACGGTCTTTCGATGCCTGAACTCTTCGTTGTTTACATTCTCAAATTCTTCCGGTGCTCGTTCACGGTTAGATCGTACGCCGTTTTACTCAAAGTTTATAATGTACATCTTTTTTTAGTAAAGAGAATGTTTTATTTTCTATTGAAATTTTATAAATATTTCTGTTGTAAACATTTTATACTGTATTTCGTTTTTGTAAATTATTCGTAAATATGAATGAACCTTTGCTCGAATCTGATTGGCTGTAGGATATAGGATAGGATAGGATACGATTGGATTAATTTCTATATGTTCCTATCGTGAATCCTCAATCCTGAATCCTATCCGATCCCATCCCATGTCAACTTGTGGGATAGCAGCACTGTAACAAGTCAAGTGTTTCTAAACAATTGGTAAACCATTAGCCTATGTTAAAATCAAAGTAGAGGATTTTCTTTGTTTTTTTTTCAAATCAATATTGCTTTGCGAAATTGCTGAAATAACTTCATTCAATACAGTATTCTGATATGCTCTCTGAAATAAAAAAAAAACATTTATAGAAATATATCTGTTTACCTGCATAAACAAACAATAATTTGATAAGGATAAGCATGCATTCACAGTTAAAACTCGGTATCTCAAACTCAACTAGTGCTAATTGTAACGGGAACCGTTACAGATGTTCCCCAAACGCTCTCCAACTCCCTTTTGGTGCCATATTCCCTTTAAGCCTTATTAAATAAGACAACTTCTATGCATTTTTAGCTCACCTGAGCCGAAGGCTCAAGTGAGCTTTTCTGATCAAAATTTGTCCGTTGTCTGTCGTCGTTGTTGTCGTTGTCGTTGTCGTTGTCGTAAACTTTTCACATTTTCATCTTCTTCTCAAGAACCACTGGGCCAATTTCAACCAAACTTGGCACAAAGTATCCTTGGGTGAAGGGGATTCAAGTTTGTTCAAAAGAAGGGCCACGCCCTTTTCCAAGGGGAGATAATCATGAATTTGTTAAAAATTAATGGCATTTTTTAAAAATCTTCTTCTCCAGAACCGCTGGGACAGGAAAGATGAAACTCATGTGGAATCATCCTCAGGTAGTGTAGATTCAAGTTTGTTCAAATCATGACCCCCGGGGCAAGGGTGGGGCCAAAATGGCCGACCCAAGTTTTACATAGGAATATATAGGAAAAATCTTTAAAAATTTTCTTCTCCAGAACCACTGGGCTAGGAAAGATGAAACTCATGTGGAAGCATCCTCAGGTAGTGTGGTTTCAAGTTTGTTCAAATCATGACCCCCGGGGCAAGGGTGGGGCCAAAATGGCCGACCCAAGTTTTACATAGGAATATATAGGAAAAATCTTTAAAAATTTTCTTCTCCAGAACCACTGGGCCAGGAAAGATGAAACTCATGTGGAATCATCCTCAGGTAGTGTAGATTCAAGTTTGTTCAAATCATGACCCCCGGGGCAAGGATGGGGCCAAAATTGCCGACCCTAGTTTTACATAGGAATATATAAGAAAAGTCTTTAAAAATCTTCTTTTCAAGAACCACTAGGACAGGAAAGATGAAACTCATGTGGAAGCATCCTTAGGTAGTGTAGATTCAAGTTTGTTCAAATCATGACCCCTGGGGCAAGGATGGGGCCAAAATGGCCGACCCAAGTTTTTCATAGGAATATATAAGAAAAATCTTTAAAAATCTTCTCCTCCAGAACCACTGGGCCAGGAAAGATGAAACTCATGTGGAATCATCCTCAGGTAGTGTATATTCAAGTTTGTACAAATCATGACCCCTTGGGCAAGGGTGCGGCCAAAATGGCCGACCAAAGTTTTACATAGGAATATATAGGAAATATCTTTAAAAATTCTTCTCCAGAAACACTGGGCCAGGAAAGATGAAACGCATGTGGAAGCATCCTCAGGTAGTGTAGATTCAAGTTTTTTCAAACCATGACCCCCGGCCATGGGGATAGGGTGGGGCCAAAATGGCCGACCCAAGTTTTTCATAGGAATATATAAGAAAAATCTTTAAAAATCTTCTCCAGAACCACTGGGCCAGGAAAGATGAAACTCATGTGGAATCATCCTCAGGTAGTGTAGATTCAAGTTTGTTCAAATCATGACCCCCGGGGCAAGGATGAGGCCAAAATGGCCGACCCTAGTTTTACATAGGAATATATAAGAAAAATCTTTAAAAATCTTCTTCTCAAGAACCACTAGGACAGGAAAGATGAAACTCATGTGGAATCATCCTCAGGTAGTGTAGACTCAAGTTTGTTCAAATCATGACCCCCGGGGCAAGGATGGGGCCAAATGGCCGACCCTAGTTTTACATAGGAATATATAGGAAAAATCTTTAAAAATTAGAAATATATTGATTGATTGTATATTGTTTAACGTCCCTCTTGAGAATTTTTCACTCATATGGAGACGTCACCGATGCCGGTGAAGGGCTTCAAATTTAGACCTATACTCGGCACTCAGGGCCATTGAACAGTGAGGGTTCTTTATCGTGCCAGCGCCTACCGTGACACGGGACCTACGTTCTTAAGGTCATATCCGAAAGACCCGTGACTTTCACTTCTAGTGCCGAGCACTTGGCGAAGGAACAGTCACTACCTTTGTTTACGTCTTAGGTTAGGCGCAGCGCCGGGAACGAGAATCGAACCCGGGCCTCCCGATCACGAAGCGAACGCTCTACCACTATGCTACCGTGACCGGTCATAGGAAATATAAGAAAAATCTTTAAAAATCTTCTTTTCAAGAACCACTAGGACAGGAAAGATGAAACTCATGTGGAAGCATCCTCAGGTAGTGTAGATTCAAGTTTGTACAAATCATGACCCCCCGGCCCTGGGGATAGGGTGGGGCCAAAATGGCCGACCCAAGTTTTACATAGGGATATATAGGGAAACCTTTTAAATTCTTCTTTTCAAGTACTTCAAAGCTATGATTAGTGATACCCGGGGTATTTATATGGAATCATCTTCAGGTAGTGTAGATTCTAGTTTGTTCAAATGATGATCGCCTGGAAGGGGGGGGGGGGGGTAAATTCAAGCCTGATGTGCTCAGGTGAGCGCTGTGGCCCCTGGGCCTCTTGTTGACTTTAACAACGTTTTCCCCAAAGGATACCAATTATATTCAAATTTTAACATTGCACGCGTACGCATGTGAATGCACGTGCATATTGATCATGAAATCTTGTCTACACTTTCTATATATTTGTATTTACTATATATTAAAGCAATTAGTCCAAAAGTAATAAAAATAACTCTTTCAAGTTTATTTTTAATTTCACTTGTTCCAAATGCACGCACGTGCATGATGACCATACCTTCTTGTAGGAGGCCCTTGTATCTATTTATGTTCTTAATCCAATCCTGTTTGGTTGAAAACCAAGGGAGCTATAGCCATTTCAAATTCAAGCCAATCAGATTGCAGCACACGTGCATCCGCGTGATTTCATGATTTTTTTCTTAATCATATTGTAGGATATCCTAATGCATGACTATGTTTTAAATTTCAGAGCATTTCGTCAAAAACAAAGGAGATATAGCCATTTAAAGTTTCAACCAATAAGATTGCAGCACACGTGCATGCGCATGTTTTCTTGAAATTTTTTGTATATCATATTGCAAGATATCCCAATGTATGATTATGTTTTAAATTTCAAAGCATTTAGTCAAAAAACAAAGGAATTATAGCCATTTAAAGTTTCAGCCAATCAGATAGCAGCGCACGTACACGCGCGTGATTTCATATTTTTTTTCCATATTATATTGTAATATATCCTAATTCATGACAATGTTTAAAATTTCAAAGCATTTCGTCAAAAAACAAAAGAGATATTGAGATTTTTGTATCAGCCAATCAGAGCGCAGCGCACGTTCATGCGCGTGAGTTCGTGCTAATTTGACAATTTCATATCATTTACACTATTGATATATCCTTATATAATGAGTTTCAAAATATTTCATTAGAAAATGTAAAAGTTATTTAACTAATTTCATGCGCCCGCATGTACAGGCGTATGAGAGCAAAATGACCTTCGTTCCGCACACCTACACTACACACCAATTAACCCTAAAAAGTTTTTAACTTAGTTGAACAGTTTCTGAGAACACTTCCGGACAAAAAAGTACCGGAGAACAAATAATAAAAAAAAAATAATAATAACTAGATGAGATCTCATTGCGAGCAACGAGTAGGTCTTCCGTTCGATTTTTGATAAGGGTATAAATCAACTTTAAATGAAAAAAGTGTTTAGATCAATTATTCAAAATACATGAGAACACATTTAAGAGTGAAATCTATCAATTTCAAACAACTTCCGGTCTTTATAATTCACTTCCGGTGTGACCAGGAGTACTTAAAATGACCTATAACTCCTTTCTGAGTGTAAAGGAATCATCCCTGATAATTTCGAGGAAAAATATGATTTTTGGACTACTTTCGGTTTGGAAAAAATAACTTCCGGTGGCCATAATATTACTCGAGACACTCTATTTGCCTCCATAGGAAACATTTTAAAAAGACAAAAATAAAATTTTGCATATTTTTAAACTACTTCCGGTGGACGACGGACGCGACGGCAAAAAAAACCGTATAACCTTCTCAAATCTACGTGTCATAATCTATCATCCCTGAAAGTTTCAGGACCCAATCTCCAACCGTTTTTGAGAACACTCTCGGACAAAATGACACTTTAAAAACAGAAAAATGGCCGTATTTTGCGACCGGAAGTGATGACGACAAAATAAAAAAAACGCATGAAGTTCAAATAGTTTTCTATCACTGCTGAAAGTTTCATGAAAAACTGTCGAGGCGTTCTCGAGAAATCGCCTGCACAAAATCGGTAAGAAAAAAATCAATAATAACTAGAGCAAAGCTCGTTGCAAAGCAACGAGTAGGTCTTCCATCCGGTTTTGACCAGAAGTGCCGGAAGTGACGGAACAAAAGAAAGCAATGAGCTAAGTAGTCTCCAGTGACTTTATAATGTCAATTTTGCATGAAAACCTTCAAAATAAGCCATTTTTTGCTACTTCCGG